AAAGTTGAACTCAGTAACAACAGAAATCTGCAGACTCATATAAAAACATGGAAGCTAAATAACGTTATGCTGAATGATAGGTGGGTCAGAGACGAGATCAAGAAGGAAATTACCAAATTTATGGAACAAAATAATAATAAAGACAAGAGTTACCAGAACCTCTGGGACACTGTAAAGGCAGTCCTAAGAGGGAAACTTATAGCACTGCAAGCCTTCCTTAAGAAAACGGAAAGAGAGGAAGTTAACAACTTAATGGGACATCTCAAGCAACTGGAAAAGGAAGAACACTCCAATCCGAAACGCAGCAGAAGAAAATAACCAAAATTAGAGGAGAATTAAATGAAAATGAAAACAAAAGGATTATACAACAGATCAATAAATCAAAAACTTGGTTTTTCAAAAAGGTCAATAAAATAGACAAACCTTTGGCCAAGCTTACCAAGAAAAAAAGAGTAAAATCTCTAATTTCATCAATCAGAAATGGTAAAGACGAAATAACAACAGACTCCTCAGAAATTAAAAAAATCCTTAATGAATATTACAAGAAACTTTATTCCCAGAAATATGAAAATCTGAAGGAAATTGACCAATACTTGGAAGCATGTCACCTTCTAAGATTTAGCCAGAATGAAGTGGAAATGTTGAACAGGCCTATATTAAGTTCTGAAATAGCATCAACTATACAAAATCTCCCTAAAAAGAAAAGCCCGGGACCATACGACTTCACTATGAATTCTACCAAACCTTTAAAAAAGAATTAGTACCTATATTACTTAACCTCTTCCAAAATATAGAAAAAGAAGGAATATTACTCAACACATTCTATGAAGCAAACATCACCTTGATCCCCAAACCAGGAAAAGACCCAACAAGAAAATTATAGACCAATATCACTAATGAATATTGATGTGAAAATATTCAACAAGATCCTAACAAACAGAATCCAGTAATACATCAAACAAATTATACACCACGGCCAAGTGGGTTTTATCCCAGGATCTCAAGGCTGGTTCAACATACGTAAATCTATAAATGTAATTCATCACCTAAACAAATTAAAAAACAAAGACCATATGATTCTCTCAATTCATGCAGACAAAGCTTTTGATAATATCCAGCATCCCTTCATGATCAGAACACTTAAAATTGGTATAAAATATTTCAAATTGTATATAAAAATGGCACACTGTACCCCATGACAGTATTAATGTACACAGCTATGATTTAAAAAAAAAAAAAACAGAAAGAGAGGAAGCCAACAACTTAATGGATCATCTCAAGCAACTGGAAAAGCAACTTGGTTCCAATCCCAAACCCAGCAGAAGAAATAACCAAAATTAGGGCAGAATTAAATGAAATTGAAAACAAAAGAATCATTCAGAAGATCAACAAAACAAAAAGTTGGTTTTGAAAAGACTAACAAAATTGGTAAACATTTGGCTAACCTAACCAGAAACAGAAAAGTAAAATCTCTAATATCGTCTATCAGAAACGATAAAGTAGAAATAACAACAAACACTTCAGAAATTCAAAAAATCCTCAATGATTATTACAAAAATCTTTATTCCCAGAAATCTAAAGGAAATGGACCAATACCTGGAAGCACGCCACCTTCCTAGACTCAACCAGAAAAAATCAGAAATCTTGAATAGACCCATATCGACCACTGAAATAGCATCAACAATATGAAATCTCCCAAGAAAGAAAAGTCCAGGACCAGATAGCTTCACATCCAAATTCTATCAAACCTTTCAAGAGGAACTAGTACCTATAGTATACAACGTTTTCCAAAGCATAGAAAAAGAAGGAATACTTCCCAACACATTCTATGAAGCAAATATCACCCTGATCCCCAAACCAGGAAAGGACTCAACAAAGAAAATTAGACCAATATCATTAATGAATATCGATGCAAAAATATTCAATAAGATCTTAGCAAGCAGACTTCAACAACGCATCAAAAAAAATTATAAACCATGATCAAGTTGGTTTTATTCCAGGGTTATAGGGTTGGTTCAACATACACAAATCTATAAATATAATACAGCACGTCAATAAAATAAAAAACAAAGACCATATGATTCTCTCAATTGATGCAGAAAAAGCCTTTGATGATATCCAGCATCCTTTCATGAACAGCATTCTTTTTTTTTTTTTTTTTTTTTGAGACAGGAGCCTCAAGCTGTCCCCCTCGGTAGAGTGCTGTGGCATCTCAGCTCACAGCAACCTCCCACTCCTGGGCTCAAGCCAGTCTCCTGCCTCAGCCTCCCAAGCAGCTGGGACTACAGGCGCCCGTCACAACGCCCGGCTATTTTTTGGTTGCAGCTGTCATTGTTGTTTGGCAGGCCAGGCTGGATTTGAACCCGCCACCTTGGGTATACGTGGCTGGCACCTTAGCCACTTGAGCCACAGGCGCTGAGCCATGAGCAGCATTCTTAAGAAAACAGGCATAGAAGGGACATTTCTTAAACTGATAGAGGCCATCTACAGCAAACCCACAGCCAGTATCATATTGAATGGTGTAAAATTGAAAACATTTCCACTCAGATCAGGAACAACGCAAAGACGCCCACTGTCTCCACTGCTCTTCAACATAGTAATGGAAGTCTTAGCCTTCGCAATCAAGCAAGAGAAGGCAATCAAGAGTATCCAAATGGGGTCAGAGGAGATCTAAACTCTCACCATTTGCTGATGATGTGATCCTATATCTGGAAAATCCCAAGGACTCAACTTTAAAACTCTTAGAAGTGATCAAGGAATACAGCAGTGACTCAGGATACAAAATCAATACTTACAGGTCAGCTTTTATATAATGCCAACAATAGTCAAGCTTAAAATATAGTCAAGGACTCTATTCCTTTTACAATAGTGCCAAAGATGATGCAATATCTGGGAATTTACCTAACAAAGGGTGTGAAAGATCTCTATTAAAGAGAACTATGAAAACTCTGAGAAAAGAATAGCTGAAGATGTTAACAAATGGAAAAACATATCATGCTCATGGCTGGGAAGAATCAACATTGTTAAAATGTCCATACTACCCAAAGCAATCTACAGATTTAATGCAAGCCCTATTAAAGGACCACTGTCATACTTTAAACAACTTGAAAAAATGTACTTCGTTTTATATAGAATCAGAAAAAAGCTCTCAATAGCAAATACATTACTCAGAAATTAAAACAAATCAGGAGGTATCACATTACCAGACTTCCGGCCACACTATAAATCTATAGTGATCAAAATAGCATGCTCCTGGCACAAAAACAGAGTGGTAGATTTATGGAACAGAATAGAGAACCAAGAGATGAACCCAGCTACTTATCATCATTTGATCTTTCACAAGCCTATCAAAAATATTCAGTGGGGGAAACACTCCCTATTTAACAAATGGTGCTGGGTGAATTGGCTGGCGACCTGTAGAAGACTGAAACCTTTAGCAAAAATTGATTCTCACTGGATAAAAGATTTAAACTTAAGACACGAAACTATAAAAATACTAGAAGAAAGTGCAGGGAAAACACTTGAAGAAATTGGCCTGGGAGAATATTTTATGAGGAGGACCCCTGGGCAATTGAAACACCAAAAATACATTACTGGGATCTGACCAAACTAAAAAGATTTCGCACAGCCAAGAGCACAGTATGTAAAGCAAACAGACAACCTTCAGAATGGGAGAAGATTTTTGCAGGTCATGCTTCTGACAAAGGTCTGATAACTAGAATCTACAGGGAACTCAAACTAATCAATAAGAAAAGAATAATCCCATTTCTATGTGGGCAAGAGACTTGAACAGAAACTTCTCTAATGAAGACAGGCCCACAGCCTACAAACACATGAAAAAATGCTCATCACCCTTAATCATTAGAGAAATGCAAATCAAAATCACTTTGAGATATCATCTAACTCCAGTATGATTAGCCCACATCACAAATCCCAAAACTACAGATGTTGGCATGGATGCAGAGGTAAGGGAACGTTTCTACACTGCTGGTGGGAATGTTAAGGTAATATGACCATTTTGGAAAGAAGTTTGGAGAACACTCAACTAAAAGTAGATCTACCGTTTAATCCTGCAATTCCTCTACTAGGTATATACCCAGGTGATCAAAAACTACTTTACAACAAAGACATTTGCAACAGAATGTTTACTGTTTACTGTTTATTCACAATAGCCAAGACATGGAAACAGCCCAAGTGCCCATCGACCCATGAATGGACTAACAAATTGTGGTATATGTACACCATGGAATACTATGCAGCCATAAGAAAAGATGGAGACTTCATATCTTTGATGTTTACCTGGATGAAGCTAGAACATATTCTTCTTAGTAAAGTATCTC